GGACAGAATTTGAGTAATCATTTTCAAAATCCATATTTTAAAATCACTTTTTAATGTTTCAAAACGGAAGCCAGGGGTGGACTGATCTAGGCATGTGTCTTTGGGGATAGGCTGGCATGCGTTCATAGCCCAGATTCGGACTTTCACTAGCTGGGTGGCATGGGGCAATCCTGTCCCCTCTCTGGACTCCTTGTCTTCATCCTTAGCTCCCTGGGCTCTAAGGCGTTTTTAGGATGGTAACAGCAGTATTGTTCTTGGTGCAGTGTGGCTAGTGGGCAACAGTAAATAGCCACTTCACAAAGGCCAGGTTGTGGGCAGCTTTCAAGTAGACAGAGGCGGTGAGAGACCCCACCCCCTGGTAGCTAACATCTTCTGAAATCTCAGCTTTTGCCTATAGAGGACACAGGGTGGAGCTGTGAAGGGAGAGGAGCCACGGAGTGTCCGTGGGCTGCAGGACTGACTGAATGGCTGGGGTGTTAATTTCCTCAATACAACTGTGACCAGTTCTGAGTGACGAATCAGAACCCAGATTCTTGAGAAGGGGCTGGGTTGTGGGTGAAGGAGGGGAGGTGGGCTGGGGGAGGGGAGGTAGAGCTGGGCAGACCTCATGAGCAGCCCCTGGAAATAGCTACTTCCCTGGAACAGTCTAGTCACTTGTGGCAGTGGCTCACTCAGCCACAGCTCCTGCTGGCCACACAGTGACCCTGAACCAGGGCTGGACAAGATCCCTGAGCCTGTGGCAATTTGGGGATTTGAGCTCCCAGGACTCTACCTGCAGGGCCCCTCACAGCCTTCCACCTCCTCCAGAATGGCCAATGTAAGTTTGATTTTGCTTCTTTCAGCAGTGGGGTGTCAATAAGAATGCGAAGTTCCCTAGAGAGTCAAGGCTGGTGTGGGGTTGCAAGGAATCGAGGTCCTCCAGTAGACTTTGCTCCAGCTGGTGTCTCCCAGCTCGGCTCACTGCCATCTGCCCCAGAGGCAACACAGTAATAACTGGATAAGCTCCCCTGCAAATCCAGGTACCTGCACAACCTCTACCTGTGTCACCTCAAATTGGTCCTTCTTTCTCTGGTCCTCAGTTTCCTTGAGGACTACAGAGGCACTGGACTAGAAGCTTCCCCGTTCTGGTGGCCTGTGGAATTTGGTTTCAAAGACAAGTATCCAGCTCATAGGGCTAAGTCTGCAGATTCCTTTTCCTTTCTGCTAGTACAGAAAGAAGGGAAGGTCTGGAGGGAGGGCAGACGCTGAAGGATCATGGGAAGCCATGATCTGCTTGTTAGTTGGTGGGAAAGCGGTTGCTAACAAATGCCATAAATATGGAAGTCTGGCCTGGACTTGACACTGGGGCTGATGTCTGTCTACTTCAAGACAGGTCTCAAGGGTGGGGGGCCACGTCCATCCTCCCTTTTGTCCCCCTGTGGGTAGTTGAGTCTGGGCCTCAGGAAGGAACAGCACCCGCTTTTGACTCTAGGGTGAGTCCCCCAAGAGTATGACCTTGGGGATACCCTTCAGATTCTCTGATGTCTAAGAGGGGGTTAGATGTCAGTGTCTCAGGCTTTGGGGGTTATAAGGATGGAAGAGAAAGCAGACTAGGTGCCAAATCCCAGAGACTGTGTAGTCTGCAGTCATCTGGCCAGCACACTGGGGGACATGGGGTCCTTCTTTGGAATGTGAGAGCCAGCCTCATCTAAGGACCAGAGGCCCCTACTCTCAGCATAGCAGTTCACCTCCTCCAGGACTCATCTCCCTTTCCTAGCAGTTGGGTGTGTGTGTGTGCACGTGTGTGCAGGGCCCACAAGAGCTAGGAGGAGGAGGCCTGGCCCCCCAAAGCCACTCCATGGGCCTAGGGATTCCCAGGAGAACTTCAAGTCCTCCCTCCCTCCTCCAACTTCCCATCCCAGTAACCACTTCAGACTGAGAAAGGAGACCACCAGGATGGATGAGTTAGTGTTGGGTGACAGGCTGTGTCCCAGAGGGCTCCCCAGAAGCTTCTCCCCCTCATTAAGAGATGGGTCTAGGGCATATTAGGTGAGGTAGCTGTCCTGGGTCTAGTGGGTGTGTCCTAAGCGTGCTAGGTTTCCAACATGTCAGAGTGCCCTAGTCCTGACCACTTCACCGGGTGGATGCTGGAGGGTTGACTGGGCCCTACAGCCCAGAGTAGCAACAGGCACAGTTCCTGGTTGAGAAATGACAGCTGTGACTACAATGTGGAAGTTGCTTGGTATGGAGGGAAGAGCGTGGCCCAGAGACAAATGCTGTCAAACTACCTGGTTTCTCACTTGGACCCCTGAGCTCATAGGGTTATTGGTGGTGGGGGGGGAGGGACAGGAACCAGCAGTGCCGGGCCCCCTAGAGGTTATCATCACTGCCTTGTTGGTCTTTCCCAAGGCTGGTAGGGTGAGACTGGCTGTCTGGACATGAGATCTGACATGAGGTGGGGGTCCTGCCCTTGGACACTGCACAGATAGGGGGACTACTTTGAACCTATGAAGTCAGGTAGGTTCTGGGTCCCAAAAGCCTTGAATGTGACGATGAAAGCAGATGGAGGAGCATCCTCTCTAGACTAGGCTCCCCACCCACATGGCTGAAGTGGCCCTCACATGGCCCTCTCCTGTGCCACAGTGTCGGGACTTCACTGCCCATACGGGCTACGAGGTGCTGCTACAGCGGCTGTTGGATGGCAGGAAGATGTGCAAGGATGTGGAGGAGCTGCTGAAACAAAGGTGAGCACCGACGGGTGGGTAGAGAGGTGGCATCCTTATGTGGCTGCTTGGAGATGCTGGGGGGTGGGGGTGGCATCGCCCAACTGCTCTAAAGGTCAGATGTGACTATCCTATGCTTTCCCAGACCTGGGACTCTCCCATGTGGGCGAGTATCCGATGGCCTGTGCGTGGCCAACGTCAATTTAGAGGTGGGGGAACTCATAGCCTCAAGGAGGAGGCTGTGAGGTCAGCCTGCACCAGGGTTGGAGAGGGTTCCTGGGGTCCTGGCGCAGGTGTGTGAGGGGCTTGCAGAACAGAAGTGAGAGGGGTCAGTGGCCACACTGTGTCCTTGCAGAGCCCAGGCGGAGGAGCGCTATGGGAAGGAGCTGGTGCAGATAGCCCGGAAGGCGGGCGGCCAGACGGAGATCAAGTAAGTGGTCCGGCCCTGGCTGCCTCTCCAGCTTCATGGGCATTTCTAGCCCATCTGTCCTGCTTAGGGCTTCCTGGCATGGGGTGAGTTGGGGATGGCCCGTGGGGATTTGGGTGAGTTCAGATTCTGTATATGGAGAAAAGCCTGTGGCCTCAGTGCCAATAAAGCCTGTGGCAGAGGGCCCAAGTCTGGCGCATAGCCACCTCACTTGGGGGGCCTCCACTCAGTTCTGAGAGTCCTGAGTGGGAGGGGGTGGGCCCTACACTGGTACCCCATGTGGCTTCAAGGAAAGTGTGGCCAGAGACAAGGGCCACCAGGAGGGGCCACACGGATTCCAGTGCCAGCAGCTCCTTGCCTGAGCTGTTGACTTTGAGCTGGTCACTGATGCTCTCTGAACCGTCATCTCCTCATCATGGAGTGGGATAGCAAAACAGCCTTCTTGAAGGTTTAAGTACATTCTGGGCTTGGCTCTTGGTTCAGGGGAGCCTCTGGGAAGAGGATGATGATTTGAGGGCAGCTGAAAGAGAACTTGCCAACAATGGCGTGGAGAGCCATCCTGGGGTAGCGTAGACTCTCCAGGGGTGAAGACCAGCCCACGGTGAGGAGCAGACAGGGCACTCAACTTCCAGTTCTGGAAGTGTTCTGACGCGTCTTCCCACCCTAGCCCTCAGCAGCCACAGCAGCCCCTGACCCTTGCATTTGTTCTGGAGGTCAAGCCTGTGAGGGTCCAGCCCTGCCGAGGAAAATGGCCCTGAAAGCTGCAGTCAGATCCTGGACCGGGCTATTCACTGGAGTTTCCTGAAGCTACCACTCTCTGGGCTGTCCCCAAGGGCAGCGACCCTGGCTGTTTCCAGAGAAAACACTGGAAGGGCTAGAAGAAGGTTTAAAAGTGGTATGAGCTAGGGGAGATGCCCAGAGGACCGGTGCTTTGGGCCAGAGAGTGAGCAGGAGCAGGAACACAGGGGAGCTTGTCTGGCCAGGCCTCTGGGAGTGGTGTGACTGGAAGCAAAGCACTTTACCTCTCTGACTTTGGGGTGTGGTGCAGAAACATGGTCTGAGGATTTCCCAAGGGCAGTCTGTGCTCAAAGGAGGGCTCAGGACATAGTAAGCAATGAAGTCAGCCAACCCCTTCCCCAGAGGGCAGTTGAGGGCAGCTTGCCTCCTGCCTCCTAGCTGCTTCCCTGGCCAGCTGGAAAAGAACTTGTTCAGAAAAAGAGGCAACCTCCCTGGTGGTGGTAGGGATGATTATTGGAGAGGGTGCCCCAGGCAGGGCCGAGATGGATCCCAGAATCCAGGACTTTGACCCACAGGCTCAAATAGGGAAGGAGGTGCCACGAAGAGATGAGGATGGGATGCAGCCAGGTGGGTGTGGCAAGGTGGAAAAGTAAGCTACCCTTGCCCCATATTTTAGGGGTCTGAAATGGGTGCCCTGACACCCAGCTTCACTAGAGGAGGCTCAGTATATGAGGGTTCCCTGCTCTGTTTACTGTGTGACCTTGGGAGGGTCACTTCCTCTCTCTCTCTCTCTCTCTCTCTCTCTCTCTCTCTCGGAATCCTGAGTCCCCTGAGTCACCCCAGGAGTCTCTAGGACTGTCCCAATGTCCAGCAGACTGAGCCACAAAGATACTCTATAAATATCAGGATTCCAAGTGGCCACGCAGATCCTTCAGCAAGTGAGAGGAATTAGGGTTCCCCTGCTTACTTTGGGCTGAGAAGCCTGCCTGGGCAATGTAGATCATTTTTTGGTGGGGACCAGCTGCTCCTTGGCCCAGAGAGCTAGTGCTGGGAGCCTTCATTCATGGGGTGCCAGAGGTGAGACATCAAACAGGGGCAGAGAAAGACCAGAGTCAACCTCACTGTGCTCCACAGAGGAGCTGGAGGACCTGGAGCCTGGGCGGGAGGGCCAGCCCAAGTCTCCTGCATATCAGCAGCAGGCAAGAAACAAAACCCAGAGACCCACAGTCCATCCACATGGGTTTCAACACAGGTGGGGTGTGAGGCACGGGAGCCAGCAGTGCTCCCTGAGGGGCCAGAGAAGCATGGCAGAGCTGGAGAACCAGAGAGGGCACCTCCCTGGGAAAAGATAAGTGGGTGGGGGCGGTGCTCACCTACCCAGCAAGGCTCCAGCAAGGCTGGAGCTGGGAAAGTGCAGCACAGAGCTGAGCCCTGAAAATGATTACATAGCCCAGGCAGGCTTCAGCCCAAAGTAAGCAGGGGAACCCCAGTTCCTCTCACTCGCTGAAGGATCTGCGTGGCCTTTGGGAATCCTGATATTTATGGAGTATCTTTGTGGCTCAGTCTTCTGGACATTGGGATAGTCCTAGAAAGGATCCGTGTGACTGTAAGGAGTCCTGATATTTATGGAGCATCTTTACTGAGCATGACATTTGTGGCTTGGTCTGCTGGACTTGGGGACTGTGCTAGCAACTCCTGGGTGACTCCGGGGACTCACTACATTCATGGCCACGCAGCTGAGCTCACTGCAGACAGCAGGTGCTCAACAAGGGTGCTAGGGCTCGTGAGAACATTCAGGCTTTCCTGTCTTTATCTGTGGGCTACATATCCATTATCCACCCACTTACAAGCTTGTCTTGAGTGCCCCAAACTGAGTCAGGGGGACTTAAAAGTGTGAAGTAAAGCAAAATGAAGGATTCCACCAGCCTGAAACCCCACTAAGGGAGACTTCATGGCCAGTCCTTTGTATCAGAAACTTGCAAGGCCCCTTCTTGCCCCACCTCTTCCAGGAAGTCTTCTCACACACAGGGGGCCTATCCTGCCTGCACCGACCTCCAACTCGATCAGGTCACTCTGTCCCCCACCAACATGAGGTAATCTTGTGGAATGAATGAGTGACCACGACAACCTGGTCACTTCCTCATCATAACAACTTTGCTGGAGAGAAGGGGAGGAAGTACAGGGGTTGACACTGAGAAAATGGATTCAGTGTGGCGGCTGGTGGGGGGAGCTCAAGCCTCCTCATACCAAGCACCCCACACCCATTCTCAGCCCCCCAGAGGGCAGGCAGGTACACAGAGTGGGGGGAAGCAACAGAAAGAGCAAAAGTCAGGGGGGTTAAATAAACCTCCAAAAAGCCCAGACCTCTGGCCTCCCCGCCTCTACTGTCTGAAGACATCATACTTCTGTATCCCCGACCTCAGACCAGCCAGAAACCTCACTCAGGCCCGGGGGCTTGGCCTCCTGCATTAAAGGGAAGTTACAGGTGCAGACGCTTCTTAGCACTGACCTCCTTTGCGCATCAGCTCAGCAAAGATTTGCCGAACAGCAGCAATAAAGGACACACAGAAAAGACCCAGGGGGTGTGTGCAGTAGAGTGTGTGCGCTTCTCCTGTGCCAGTGGGGCTCTGAGAACTCAGCCCCGTCTGATCCTATCTACCTAAGAGCGCCTCAGATCCACAGGGAAGGCTGTCGCCCAAGGCTGCCCGTGCCCCTGATCCTGCCCTAGGCTCCACTGCTGCCTGTGCTTCCCACCGACAGGCTGCAGACCGGAGGTTCCCACAATCCTCCTTGGGTTCCATTGATTGGCTGGAGCTGCTCACAGAACCCAGAGAAACTCTAGGGCACAGTCTATTACAAAGGACATTATCCTAGAAGAGATGCCCCAGAGGGGATGTGGGGACAGGCGCAACTCAGCCCTCGCCACCCACCATCTCCCTAAACCTTCGTGTGTTTCTAAACCTGTTCCTTTTGGGCTTTTATGGAGGCTCCATTCTGCAGGAACCACTGAGAACTCACTGGCCCTGGGAAGCTGAACTTGTTCTCTCCCCTCCCAGAACATCAGAGGGACCAAAGATGCACCCACTATTCCAAGTTGGTTTCTATGACAACCAACCCACAAAGTCAGCTCATTAACATAGAAAAAAGACACCTTGTCACTCACAACACTTAGAAAATTCCAAGAGCTTTAGAAGCTAGGAGCTAGGAGCTATGGATGAAGACCAAATGTGTATATAGATATAAAATATATATATATTTTAAAGATTTATTTATTTATGCATACAGAACTGGTGCGGTACAGGCCAGAGTTGCAGGGGGTGAGAGTATTCACTAGAGACAGAGTGGGGAGTAGAACAGGCAGGTCAATGAAGTACACTGCTGAGGGGAGCAGCGGGCGGGTCAGGAGAGGTCTGCCGCGCCATGTTGGTCACCTCCGGGGCAGGCGGGGATTGAACTCATGCTGAAGTGGCTTTAGCTTCTTAGTGTTGTGCTTTAACCCCTGTGCAGCCAGGGAGAGATGTATATACATACTCCCCCACCCCACCCTCAATATATCACAATATTGCAAGCTGGGTCTCCAAATTTAAGGGACCCCCATGGGCCCTCTCAGTGCAATTTAAAGACAGCATTAGGTGGGTGCAGGGCCTCCACCACGCAGCCTGCCCTGTAGAGTCCCTGCCTGACTCTCCCTGTAACCTGTGGGCCTCCGCTCTGGCTGTGCTCCCCTGCCTAGTCCCACCCGTCCTCTGAGGTTTGGCTGAAATACCACCACCGCCAAGAACACTGTCACCTCCTCCCCCTCTGTGCATCCTGCCCAGGTAGGATGCTGGGGCTGCTTGCTCCGGAAGTGACATGGGCTATTGGTTCAGGAAACAAAGGGGATTGGCAGGCAGGGCTGGGGAGTTTCTGTCAAGCCCCAAGGCGGTTATCTCAAGCAAGGAAATGCTGTGGTTTTCCTGTTAGAAGAGAGCCCTTTTTCACAGCCGCTGTTCTGAACGCAGAGGGGGAAGATACTACATAGGAGAGAGAGACAGCCCACTGCTGTCAGGGGTCTTCAGGCCCCACTTCACTTGGGGCTCAGCCTTGGCACAGGGAGGTGACAGGGGGCTGGGCAGGGGTTGGGTGTGCCAAAGCAGGGACTTGGGTGGAGCATGCCCTGTGGTGGGTATAGCAGAGATAAAGTTACTGAAAATCTGACTCAACTGAGCACAGAATTTCAGGCTGAACTATTGGAGAGGCAAGTCCAAAAAGCAGTGGGAGGAGTCAAAGACGAGGACATTCCAAGGGTGGAGCCTGCTTTGGGTCCCCACTCTTGACAAGCAATGAGAACCTGATGAGTTTTCCCAAGTGGCAAGGTGGTAGGACGCAGGTTTGTAGGAAAGCTAAGAGAAACCATCTTTTCTGGGCCATATGTTGAACTAGAGAGACTAAGGCAGTAGATGAGAGGAGGAGAGGGACTGAGTGCATGACTAAGAAGGAGTTGTTTCCTGGGAACAAGTCCTGGCCCCCATGCCCATAGAGGGGTCACCTGGCAGTCACCCCTCTCCTCCTCTGGAGGGCTGGCGGGGCCAGGCCTCACCCAACTCCTCCTCTCATTATTCTCTGCCTCAATTTTTCTCTTCTATAAAATGGGGGTGATCTTGGCCCCCTCCCAGGCAGAGTTGTGAGCAGCTAGCTACTTTGGGCCAGTGGGTCTCACATTTGAATGCACTTCAGCAGCTCTAGGAGGCTGGTGAAACAGCGCCCTGGACCCCACCCCTGAGTCTCATCTTCAAGAAGGCTGTGGTGAGCCAATGAACTTGTGTTCTTAACAAGCTCCCAGAGCTGCTGCTGCAAGCCTTACCTTGAAAACCCTTCATTTATGGCCAAGGTTGGCATTGACCAAGCATGATAGCCCTTCAGGTACAGAGACCCGTGGGGCCTTCCAGGTTGCTATTTCTGGTTTGGCCCAGGTTCCATAGCTGTGCTATGACGCAAAGCTGGCTTGGCAAGGATTGTCCACAGAGGCCCGCAGACGGCAGGACCAGCTTCACTGCCTCTATAGGGTGTCCTGCAACCACTGGCCACCAGGGGGCAGGCGCGTGGCTTGCAGGGGTGACGTAGGGCCAAAAGGGAGCAGAGGGCCTGTGGGCTGGGGTAAGGGACCCCAGCAATAGATGCCAGGTCCTGGCCCCAGTTCTGTGCACATCCTGGTGAGAAGGGGACTTTGTGGATAAAGGGATGCAATTCCCTGCTTGTCCTGTTTCTGGCCCAAGGATCTCTGGGCTTTGTGGGTCCTCTTGTTTCTCAGTGTGTGTGTGGCCTCCCACACCTTTGCTCGGGTCTTGGCTTTGTTGCTCATTCTAGAGAAGATCCTTTCAGTAGGGGTGTCAGGCAGAATACAGTCCTTTAAGATAAAGGACTTTAAGATAAAGGACTTTCTGAGCATAAGTATATTCCAAGCATTATAAAAAGTGTACTTATACTCAAAAGATATTTGTGGTTTATCTGAAACTCATATTCACCCATTCTGTGCTTCCATGGACGACCCTACTCCCCACATACCTTACTCAGTGGCAGATATTTCCTCTCCTGCTGCCCCTGGTAGCAGCTGGGGTAGACAGAGCTGTCTCTGCTCCAGACTCCCCCTGCAGGTTTCTCCTGAGCTCAGGGTACCCTAGGATGACTCCCCATCTTCCCTCCTGGGACCCTCCCTGGGCCATCACCACCATCGGCCAGTTGCCCCAGCTGGGGGCCAGGGAGGCTGGCTGTTGCTTGCCATTCTCACTCCTGTCTGTCCTGTCCTAGGGCCCCACACCTGTGTCCTGCATCCCCTGTGACCATGACCATGCAGCTTCTTCCAGCATGTCCTCCAGCTACCTCCTGAGTTGGCCTGACCACTGCCCTCTCCAGTTTCAGCTCACCTTAAGGAGGGGCAGGCCCCTGCAGGAGTCCCTTTGTCGAAGTAAAGCCAGCATTCTGCCACAGCAGGGATTTGACTGCTTTCTGAAAGAGTTTTCCCTGCCAGCAGCCCAGCTTGGGCTTCAAATGGGTGGTCACTGTCTGACTCCAGGTTTCCTTGGGTCCAGGTCAGGGGGTATAAGTGACCTAGGACCCTCCCACCAAAATAAAAGCCCCATGGCTGGCCAGGACATGGTTCTTGCTGTGTCTGCCTCTGCTGACCCTGTCATCTCTGTGTTGCAGCTCCCTGAGGGCCTCCTTTGACTCCCTGAAGCAGCGTAAGTCTCAACTGTTTCCCACCCCAAGTTGCAGGCTGATAGAGCCCCCTGGGAACGCCTGTGTCTCCCCCCGCCCCAAGACAGCTTAATGGTTTCTGGCTGGGGGAGGGAGCTCAGGTTCTGGACTGGTAGGGGGCTTGGGGTGACAGAGACAAGGTGTGGGGGAGAGCTGGCTGATGCAGACAGGGGCCCATCATGGCTGACATCAGGGACCCATGTCCTTACTCTGCTCCCAGAAATGGAGAACGTGGGTAGCTCCCATATCCAGCTGGCCCTGGCCCTGCGTGAGGAACTGCGGAGCCTCGAGGAATTCCGGGAGAGGCAGAAGGAGCAAAGGAAGAAGGTGAGGTAGGAGGTAGGGCTGCGACCCCACTGCCAAGGCTGTGGAGGGGCACCCCTAAGGGAACTGGTGTGGGGAGGGGCCCTACACCAGGCTCAGGAGGTGAGAGTGACTCAAGGGAGGAGAGGATGGTCGTGGGCAGGCCTGGCAGGGGTATGGGAGTTCAGGGCTCAGGCCTGACAGCTCCAAATAGTTCCTCGTCCCCCGTGCCAGGAGAGGGGACGAGGCTGGGCTCTAGTAGTCCTTCCAGAACAGCTTAGAGGGTCAGTCACAGCACGCAGTGGCCAAAGGCCCTGAGTCCAAGGGCCAGGGCTGCTTGTCCAAGAGAAAGAGACTTAAGAATCAGTCACTGTAGACCCTGTGCCAGGCTGTCCAAGACTGAGAGGTCATACAGTCTCTGAGGAGTGGGATGTCAGGCTTTCCTTGGCATGCAAGAAACTGCTCACTCAGGTCCACCAGTGGAGGGACTGCATGGAAAAGGCACAAGGGCCCCCTCAGGAGGGATGCAGGTGTCAGCAGAGGCAACTTGTCAGGGAAGCCGCAGAGATGGGATAAGAGAAGGACTTGGTGCTCTCTGAAACCCAGAGCCCCCTCTCAAGCCTGAGCACCTAATTGGTGAGCACATGGCTCACTGGGAGGGCAGGTGGGGCCCCTGGTCAGCCTTAGTGGGGAGGGTGGCACCCTGGCCTGGGGTGGAGGCCAGCACACGTGAACACTTCTTGCTTGAAGAAGCAAGATCATTGCAAACTGTCTAGAGAAGTGAAAATGGTGAAGTTCATACCACTGAACTGGAAAAGGGAAGACAGTGCCGGGCTACAGATGAGGCCAGGTGGAGCTCAGTGTCCTTGTCAAGCCACTTCTCTTCTCTGGGCCTCAGTTTCCCTCAGGCAGGTGGCACGCATGTCTACCTCCCAGACTCTGGGGCCAGCCAGAACCAGGTTCCCCTCAGGGGTCAATGGCTCTGCTCCTAAAACTTCAATTGCCCATCTACTAGCCATGATCTCAGGCTTTCAGCTTCTTGGGTTTCTGAGCAGAGAGTCAGTCCTCAGGCCCAGCCCAGCCTTGAGGTACTGAGGCATGCCTGCGGCTCTGGCAGCAATTGTTGGGCCCCCAGCTGGCTATTTTGAGCTCTCCTGTGGCCAGCGGAGCTGAGAAGTCTGCAAAAAGTGGTTTTGGAGAGTGCTGCCTTCCCCAGAATGGCCAGAGCTGTGATGACGGGGAGTGGGGAGGCTACCTGGGGGTGTGAACAGTGCCTGCCTGGGGGCCTGCAGCGTGCACACACGCCAGTGTGTGCCTGAGTCTGTGTGTGCCCTGCCTGAGGTCTCCCCCTGGCACGGCATCCTCAGACCCCAGGCACAGCACCCAGCCCCGGCAGCGGCCACGATGGTCTGCCGTGTGTGCTGTCTGTGTGTGGGGCCTCGGGAAGCTGCGCTGCTGTGGAGTTGTGCCCTGTGCGTGTGTGTGTAAAGGGTTGGGTATTAGGCACCTGTGGGCAGGGAGCCTGCTAGTGTGTACTTCTGTGCGTGTGTGTGCTGCGGCGTGTATGCAGTGTGTGACCACAGGAGCACGCGTGAGGCTGAGTGAAAGATGTGTGGTGTGTATGTGAGCATGTGTGGGCAGGTCACTGCTCCCCACTAGAGACCTCTCATCCTGGCTGGACATGCAGGGAGGGGACTCATGGGCACTCCCATGCCCTGAGCTTCTCCAAACCTCTGTTATGAGTATAACTGTGAAAGAACAGAGAGGGCATCCTGTCACTTGCCCCCTCAGAGCCAAGAGGGGATGCTGTGCCTCATCCCAGGGACACCCCGTCCTCTTGGCCTAGGGGAGCGTCCTGAGGCCGTGGCCCCCCGCTCAGCACTTCGTGTCCCCTGCAGTACGAGATCGTCATGGACCGCATCCAGAAGAGCAAGCTGTCCCTCTACAAGAAGACCATGGAGGTGAGTGTAGGTCTGCAGCACGGCGGATCTGAGGGCTCAGGTTGGATGCAACCCACCCACCCCCTACCTTTGAACAGATCTCTGTCCAATATATGCACAGTACCTGTTGGGTGCTTGGGCTGCTGGACATGCAGGTGACACACAGATGGGCTCAGGCCCTCCTTGGCACTGTCCAATGGGCCAGGGGTCTGTTGCAGTTATGACTCACAGGGTGATCCACAGGAGCCCCCAGTGTGGTTTGCTGGGGACTCCAATAGTAGAGCTGCCCCTCTGGGTCATTGGGTGAGGAGAAAAAGACCCTGTGGAGGGAGAGACAGCATGTGTGAGGCTGGCATCACCAGGCTGCCTGGCATTTTCAGGAAATAGTTGTGGTGGAGGGGACCGCAGCCGCAGGCCACAGGCAGGACTGCACTGTCCCTGGTAGGCATGTCCTGCAAACTACTCCCTTGCCCACCATCACTCCAGATCCCCAGCCCTGGCAGGGAGGAGGTTGGGTTCTGGGGTACAGCAGAATTGGACTGTGCAGCCCCCCAATAACACCCTCCACATCCTAGTCCAAGAAGACATACGAGCAGAAGTGTCGGGACTCGGACGACGCGGAGCAGGCCTTTGAGCGCATCAGTACCAACGGCCACCAGAAGCAGGTGGAGAAGGTGAGGGCCTAGTGGGGGCAGGGCGGAGGGGAGACGGCTGCCTAAGAGACGGACATGCCGGCCCCTCCCTTCCCATCTGCGACCCCGCCTCCAGAGTCTCAGGGCAGAGAAAGGCAGGGTCAGCTTGGTCATCTCCAGGCTGTACTCAAGGACCCACTCCTCAGAGCAGGCCAGTGCGGCCAGGTAGAGCTCACAGACAGTGAGGGCAGACGCTCACCCTCACACTGCCCTCGGAGAGGGCTCAGCAGGATCACGTCACAGAAGAAACAGGCTCAGACGCGGTGAGTGACTTGTCCAAGGTCTCAGAGCCAGGAAGCCACGCGATCAGACCCAAGCCCAGATTGTCCAGAGGCCAGGCTCACAACTGCTCTGGCTATAAAGGCAGGGTCAGCCTCCCCTTTGCCATTTCCAGACTGCACCCAGTGCACAGACAGAAAAGCTGAGGCCCAGAGAGGGCAGGGCCTTGGGCTCAGTGGGGGCAGCAAGCAGCGTCGGGTCCAGACCACAAGCAGAGGCCACAAGGGCCTCAAGGTCCGTAGTTTTCATTGCCCTTTAAGTCTTCACAGCTCGTCTTCACAGGTGTCTCCTCCACGCTGGGGATTTCTGTTTTTATTCTTGTTTTATTGAGATCAGCCCGTGATCCTTTCCATTGTGGCATGAGGCTGGGTTAATGATGGGGCTTGCTGCCGTTGGCCCCGACCCCTCATTCCCTGGGAGGGTGAGACTGTTGAATGCTGTGGAGGGTACGGGGAGAAGAGGGGCTGAGGGCTCAGGCCGTGGTTGCTGTGTCTCCTCAGAGCCAGAACAAAGCCAAGCAGTGCAAGGACGCAGCCATGGAGGCAGGTAGGTGGCCCTGCCTGCTCTTCAGCCAGGGTGGGCGCCCGGACTGTCTTCCCACCCCGGGGACACCCAGCTGGAGACACATGCACCTCCACATTTATGCAAGTAAACCTTTCTTTCCTGTCATTTGCCGGATTACTCTCACCACCTTGCAGGTCTGGACTAACCTGTACAACACTGCACATTTAACAGATAAGGAAACTGAGGCACACAGCTTAACTTGTGCTTTAACTTGCCCAAGGTCACAGCTGATGTGGGGTGACTGCATTTGAACTCAGCCGCCAGGCTCCAGAGCCAGAGCCCAGGACTTTCACAGCCATGATCAGAGGGGCGGCCCTCTGCGCGTGTCTGCCTGCACCCCCCCCTTCCCCTGCTTTCTTTCTCTCTCCTACAAACACTGGTACCCACAGCCTTCTCTGTCTCCTCGCTCCTTCCCCGATGCCAGAACCCCTACCTGTCCCTGCTGGCATGGCTCCCGGGACAAAGTTCCCCTGCTTGTTCCTTTGGGGGGACCCTCCCCTCTCCTCTGCCTCTCCCAGGCAGCTATTCCCTTGACAGGGGCCTAGGCGGCCACCCCTCCCCCAGAGGCCTGGAGCCAGAAGTCATTGCCCAAGAATACTGGGTTCCCAGTCTAACTTCCCGATACTCCCCTCTGCCTCCTTTTATGCTGCCCTAGCCAAGCCTCAGTTTCCCACCTGGCAGTAAGAGGTGGGACCTGGGAGTGACCATCAGTGTATAAGGCTCTGGTCCAGTCCTGGGCATTTTAGTGCTCAGTGAATAGCTGCGAGCCAAGTATTGAGATGAGGCACCAGCAGCCAGAGAGGAGGGCACACTCTGGGCAGGCAGCACTGGGACACAGGGCAGGGTGGGGTGCAGCGGTATCTCTCTGAGGGACCCTGTGCTTTCAGAGCGGGTGTACAAGCAGAACATCGAGCAGCTAGAGAAGGTGCGGGGTGAGTGGGAGCAGGAGCACCGGACCACCTGTGAGGTGAGTGAGGCAGCCTGGGCCTCAGTTTCCCCAACCACAAAATGGTGAAAGACCCACCCCAGCTCTAGTGCTTCATGGGGGAAAACAAGGCAGTGGTGGTGGGGGAAGGAGGCACCATCAATCCATTCCTGCTCTTACCCCTCTTCCACTCACCCCCGAAGGTCTGTGCTGGGTCACTGCCTCCTAGGGAGTCCACAGCAGATTTTGAGTCCTGGGTACCTGTACTGCAGATGGACAACCTTCTCTGTTTCTGTTGAAACTCAAACTGAAGCTCAGACAAAGCCCATAGCTTCCCTCGGCCCAGCTGTGGAAAGGCAGGGGCTAGGCAACAGGGCCCAGGGCTCCTCCCCTACCCTGACACCCTCCTCCACAGTATTTCCAGCATGGGGGGGGGGGCCTGGGCAGTGGGCTGGTGGGGGGGACAGGATTCCTACCAGCAATCAGCCCCTCTCCCAGAAGCCTCAGGGTTGGCTCCCCGGGTCAGGTGGGGACCCCAGGAAGTCTTCCAGCAGAAGAGGGTCTTGTTGATTTGCTCCAGCTGGCAGTAAGTGGGGCCCAACCTGCTTGCCTCTGCACCCCAGTCTCACTCCTCACCTCCCTCCACAACACCTCCTCCAGGCCTTCCAGCTGCAAGAGTTCGACAGGCTGACCATCCTCCGAAACTCCCTGTGGGTGCACTGCAACCAGCTGTCCCTGCAATGCGTCAAGGATGATGAGGTGTGGCCAGGGATGAGGACAGGGGCAGGTGCAAGAGAGCGCGGCCCCAGCCAGCGCTGGGCTCAGATCCACCTGAGTCCCTCAACAGGCTCCTAGTCCTGTAACCCAGCCCTGGCCCCACAACGTTGGGCCTCAGTCTTGGGCTCCATCCCTAGGGCACTGAGAACGGTGCTCAGGACCACGCAGGGCTGCAGTCTCTCCTGTCAGCAGTGTGGGCCGCTTTTCTCAGCCTGTTCCCTGGTCCTTAATTCTCACTGTCTTCTCCTCTACGGGGGTGTAGGAGCCAAGTGGATAGAACCCCTGGGGGTTTGCAAGTGAGGCTAAAGGGCCCTGGGCTGCCCTGCTCAAGGCCCCTAGACATCTCCATGGTGCCCCTTACTGAATGTTACACGCTGGGTGGTTGGGTGCCCCAGAAGACAGGGCTTCCTGATCTCTCTTCATGCAGCCCCTGGGCCACGAGCTCTCTGTCTCCTTCAAGCAGCCTGGTACCCCAGTGCTCTGCCCGACCTGATCCCTCTGCCTACAAGCTGGTGGGTTGGGGGTTTTCTCCTCCTTGGGCAGGGGGAGGGGCGTGGGCTTGGGATCCTTCCTTGCAACCCTGCAGCAATGAATTCTTGCTGTGACTTTATGCAAATCGCTGTTCTCCTGAGTTTCCTCATCCTTAAAATGTGGAAAATTGGGTCAATCACAGGAATGAGATTGTACATAGCCCAGGAACCATGGCTGTGACTTCCCGGTGCAGTTCTGGGGCAGTTCTACCCTAAGGCCCCGGAATACAGGTGCTGAGCCCTCCTCCATTGGGGGCATCGGTGTCCCTTCCTTCCCGTTCAGAGAGGCAGGGCTGGCCAGGGGGCCACGTGGTGGTGATGCCTGGCTCTTAGCCGCTGCATTGTCTGCTCCCAGCTCTATGAAGAGGTGCGGGTGATGCTGGAAGGCTGCAGTGTGGATGGCGACATCAACAGCTTCATTCAGGTCAAGAGCACGGGCACCGAGCCCCCAGGTGAGCCCACCCCCCCACGGGCAGCACAGTCTGGCCTTGTCCTATGAAGCTGGCCTTTGTTCCTAAGCCTCAGCTGCCAGGAAGAGTTGATGAGGCTGATAGCACCCTGCTGGATAAAGGTGCCTTGGCCAGAGTCAGGAGGGGCTGGGGACCATACAGCCCAGATGAGCGGTGCTTATAAGCCTTATGGTGCAAGTGGGCAATGAGGACCTGGAGTGGAGGCGGGAGCCTGTTCGGGCCATGAGCACAGGGTGCCTGGTCTCATGGCTCCCACTATGGGTCCCTCTTGGAAGTGAGAGCCCCTCCCAAGCACAGGTAGGCAAGGGCCAGGATGGAAAGGGGTCCTAGGAGCGGAATAGGTTGGGTGTCCTGCCTGACCTGCCCTTGGCCACCCTGGGCTCACAGCTTGCCGCCCACAGCTCCGGTGCCTTTCCAGAACTTCTACGACCGGGAGGTGGCCCCAGGATCTGGCAGCCCTGGTGTACAGCCATCTTGTGGCATGATAAAGAGGTGAGGCACCCCATGGACAACGGTGACAGGATGCAGAGTAGGATACAGCTTTGCCTCCTGCAACCGGTTTTTCCTCGCCTACAGTGTACCTGACGTCATGCTGGGATTGGCCAGAACAGGCTCAAGTACGGCCTTAGCCTTAGGAAACCCAGACCTTAAATAAACAGTGATACCCTATTATTGACTAGTGACTGGGAGCTGGCTTCCTTGTCCCACAGGCCCTGGGGCAGGATCTGGGACTGTCAGGCTCCAGTGGTGATACTGCTCCGCTTCCCTGGGGCTGGACTAGACAGAGGAGTGGGCTGGATAAAGGTGCCTAGTAAGTGCTGCTGGAGAGTTCTCCAGCCTCGCCCAGGGCCCTGCCCTGGCTGGGGTACAGAGCGAACCAGGGTCTCAGCACCATGTGTGAGCATCACCTGTACAAGTCACTCATCTGCTCTAGGCTTGGGTCCATGATGACTGGGGCAGTCTCAGAACCGAAGGGCACTCTGTGCAGGCCTGTGCAGGGGAGACAGTGGTGCCAGCCCATATTCGCTACACCGGCCCCCAGCAGCCAAGTCCTTGGCCAAGTCCAAGCTGGGTGCCCATCTGTAGTGGGCTCACATGACCTCCTGGGCAGAGAAGGCCCTGACCTGGGAAGTGAGTGATGGGGGTATGTGTTTGGGGGTGGGCGAGGGAGGGTTGGGATTCCTGGTGGAACTCCAGGCCCAATGAGGACAGTTTATGTCCTCCTTCTTCTGGTTATTAACTTAAGGTGAGAAAAATATTATTTGAGCATTTTGTTTTGTGATGTGGGCCTGTATTGCTATATACTTCTCTCTTATTACTGCTTTTGTGTGTTCCCAAAGTCTCAGAATTGTGTCCTCATTTTCATTTCTCTTGAGGTATTTTTAAATTTCTTCTTTGATTTCCTCATTAACCCAATAGCCATTCAGTAGTGTGTTGCTCAGTTTCCACATATTAGAGGTTTTTCCTGCCTTCTTTTTTGTGTTCAATTCTAGTCTGATACCATTGTTGGCAGAGAAGATACTTGGCAAGGCTTCAGTCTTCAGGGATTTGTTTCATGACCCAGTACACAGTCAGTCCTGAGAATGTCCCATGAGCACATAAGAAAAATGGGTGTTTAGCCCTTTTGGGTGGGGTGTCTTACAAATGTCTATTAAGTCTTTAAGGCTATTATGTCCTTATTTATTTTCTGTGTAACTGATCTGTGCATTTGTGTAATTGATCTGTCCATTTATGACAGTGATGTCCTCTCTCAGCCATGAATGTCTGTTTTTCCCATTATCTGTTTTCAATTTTGACAATAACTGCTTTATATATTTTGATGTGCCTTTGTTTGGTAGGTTTATCTTAATGAGTGTTATCTCTTCTTGATGTATTTTTCCCTTAATCATATAGTGGTCCATCCTTGTCTCTTGTTACCTTCTTTAGCTGGAAATCTACTTTATCAGATGTAATTCGGCTGTCCCAACCTTCCTTTGGGTCCCCTTTGCTTGTTTTCCAACCCTTTACTCTGAGCCTCTGTTTTTCAAGTTGGATTCTTTTTTCTAATCCAACTAAGCACTCCATGCCTTCTAATTGCTCAGTCTATTTACATTTAAATTAATCGCTACTCCCATTTTGTCCTTAATTTAGCAGTTCTCTTTTTGTTCAATTCTTTGTGGATGTTCTCTTTGATTTAGATAGAAGAGCTCATTTCAGTATTTCTTGGGGAGGGGGGAAATCTAATATTTGTAAGCCTCTTTAGCTTCTGTTAATCTTTTTCATATCTAAAGCAGAGTATTCTTGGCTAGAAGTCAGATGTAAGCCTGATTAGGGTTCTTTTATGGGTGATCTGCTTCATCCCCCTTCAGCATCAATAGTCTTTATTTACCTTGAACTCCTATAAGTTTCACTATGATGTGTCCTGGAGTATGACTCATTATATTTAGATAATCTGGTGTTTGTTTAGCTTTACGTGTGTTTAGTTCCTTCTCCAGGCTGGGGAATATCCCTCTATTATTTCTTTAAATAAGTTCTTTGTTCCCTTTTCTCACTCTCCTCCTTCTGGGATATTCTTATATTGCCTTTTCCTTATGGAATCAGATAATTCTTGAAGTATTTCTGCACTTTTTTCTTCACTATTTTTTTTGTATTTCACTTGTTCCACTGGGATTTTTTTTTTTTTTTGCATTATTACTTCCTCCCCACCTCCCTCGTCCCCCCCCCCCTTCTTCTTTTCATTACTATTTTCATTGGTCTTCCATTTGGTCTCTTTTACTTCCATAGCTTTCTCCAGAATTTTTATCTCATCTATTTACCTTTTTACATACTGCACCTCCATTATTTTCTTATTTAAGGCTTCAATTCAGAAATTTTGATTTTTCTGCTCATTAAGTTTATTTCTCAGGACATTCATTTGTTTTCCTGAGTTTTCTTTAGGATTTATTAATGCATATAAGAGCTGGGCTGTAGGCCAGAGGTGCTAGTTGGGGGAATGGTGAGAAGATTCACCAGAGGCAGAGTGGGTAACAGAACAGGTAGACTAACTGAAATACACCGCAGAGGGGAATAGTGGGTGAAACAGGAGAGGTCTGTTGTGCCATGTGGGTCAGCTCCCTGACCAGGGACTGAACTTGTGCTGCAGTGGCTGCAGATAGCTTCATAGTGCCGAGACTTAACCCCATCTTTGATCAACCCATCTGTGTTTCTTTCACTTCTTTGAATTTCTTTATGGCAATTTTGAACTCTGTATCTGATATGGAGAAAATACCTTCTATGTCTTAGTTGTTGGGTCCTGGAGATTTCTGGTGGAGTATTCCCTTGAGAACTCAATTTGCTATTTGTTGTGTGTTTTTCTTATTTACTTTCTAAACAGTAAGGGTTCAGAGTTTCTGCTTTTCCAGCAGGTGGCACTGTATGTCAGGGAGAACTAATTTTTAGCTGGGTCCTTTGTGACTAGGGAAGGGAATTGGAGGGGTCTGTTGCTGGTGAAAACGGTATGTGTGGGCATGACTCGTGCCTGTTTCCACTGCTAGACCTCCTCTCTGACTTTCAGACCTGTGTCTCTGAAGTCGGTGAGTTGGGCTTTCAGTGCAGCCATGACACTTTCTAATGTTGCTTCACAGTGTCTGCCTACTCCTGGAGGAAATGGGTTGAGGGAGCTGTGCCTTTCTGATCTTTGTTTTTCTCATTGCATGGCTCATCGAAGCACTCTTGTCCGCATCTCCATGTCTACCTCCCCAGCACTCAGCTCTGCCCTCTCCAGGCATGGATATGAACTTCAGTTTCCACCCCTGTGGACACCTCTCCCCCACTCACCATTTTGTTTCAGAGTTGAATTTTCTCAGTGTCTGTTGCATGCAGGCAGCATTGGCCCTTGGTAATCATGAGGAACTCTGGTTTTGTCCCATGTCATAGGATTCACTGAGTCCAGTGCCCATTTGTACTTCTGTTAGTTTGCTCTTCACAGAGTAAAGCAGGGAACAGAAGCTAGGCTGGAGTGAGGAGGGGCAGGGCAGTGGCTGGGAAGTGAGTTGAGGGAGAATTGGAGTCACAAGTATAGACAACTGACCTCCACCAGCTCTGCTCTCCCAACTATCGTCCTGCTGGCCTTGCCCTGGCCCCTGTATACCAAATGAGCCATAGGTGTTGCGTCTTTGTGTCCTGTGCTAGTACCTGGCGTGTTCATGTGTGTTGGATTCATAGCAGCATCCAGTGCATCCATTTTGGCTGTGCATGTTCACTCCCAGGTTCTCAGCTCCACAAAACTTCTCAGGCAAGGGAAAAGTCCCTCAGGCCCTGCCTTGAACCACAAGAAGCTTCCAACGGGGGTCAGTCAGGCCCCACACCCGGCACTCAAGGCCCCTTGGGATCTGCTGTAGGCCCTATTACAGAGACACTGGCCCAGCTGGCCCAGTACACTTCTGGACTCCTCTGCACCCATGTACCTCTTTTCATCCCCTGGCAATGCTTTGTACCCCTGTCTCTGCCTAATAAAGCTATGTCTTTGGAATCTTAGCTCAGTCCCATTAGGAATCCTTTTCTGGGGTAAGGAAGCAGCATCAGCCCTATTCAGTTAGCCCTCAGCACTGTTTGCATCATGAGATGCTCCCATCGGCTTGCACTCAGTGCCTCCGGTGTCTACCTCTTTCCTTTTGTTCAACAAACCTTCATGACTCATTCAGTCCAGAACTGAACCAGGCACAGGAAAGGGATGAAGCAGACCTGCACTGTTCCCTGAAAGTCACCATGTGGTAGGGACTCTGCTTGTATGACCAGGGAGTAATGGGACAGGCCAGCATGTGGCCTGAGTGGGAGGCTGGGCCAGGAGACAGGCAGGACAATAGTAGCACAGACGTCTCCCAAAAGTGTCCTCAAAGGAGCAGAGGCTGAGAAAGGGTCCCAGCCTAAGGGACTAAGGGTGTTGCCAGGGAAAGAAGGACCACTGGTACCAACCACCCTCTGAGGGACCCTTATCCCATGTGATCTGGAGACTAGGGGCTCTGAGAGGGCTCCCTGCCTCATCTCTCCCTGCCCACAGGTTCTCTGGGCTGCTGCATGGAAGTTCCAAGACAGCATCACTGGCAGCTTCCACAGGTAACTGGGGATGACATGGGAGCAGTGGGGACTCCCACATGGCTCTCCAATAGCAGGGTGACACAAAGGGAAGGGAGAGGCTGAGCCCAGCACAGGAAAGCTCATGTGAGGGCATTCCAGGGCCATGGTCCTTTGAAAGGGGCTCCAGGTTGCACCCTGCTCTCACCTCCACAGAGACTCTGACCTCCACGCGTGGGCAGAATGAGGCAGTCTACGCAGCCATCGCTGTGAAAGAGGTGCCAGGACCCCCCACCTTGCCAGGCCAGGACTACAGGGCACTCTATGACTATGTGGCTCAGGTAAGCCCCATCCCTCTGTCTCAGGGCGTACATGTATGCCTGAGGGTGCTCACGCAGGCACATGTACCTGTGGTCCTCAGACCAGCACCCAGCACTCAGGAAGGGCCCGACAGATATCTGCTGGGAGGGTCCCACCCCCTGTCGGGCATGAGCCTGTGTCTGTCTGGAGCTTCACATGGGCACATCAGGCAGGCATGTGTGCCCATGTGTACACATGCATGATGGCAGAGAGAGCCAAGGTTCACCTGAGGCTCAGCTTCTGCATCCTCGGGTCAGGGCCACAGGTCCAAGCATCAGCCAAGGTGAGACCAGGTCATCAGCTGCGTTGGGTGGGTTTTCTGAGGTCCATGGGAAGGATGGGACATGAAGCTACAGAGCTGCTATGTTGAGGTCCTTAGAGTCCAACCTGTTCCTTGCTTTGCTGGATATTGGGTCCACCTTTGGCCAGGCAAGGTCTTGACTCCACAAGTACAGTCCTGGAGAAGGCCAGATGGTGACGGGGGCTCACTCAGAGTAGAAGGCATCTGGGGTAGCCTGAAGAGGGAGCCCCTAGACTTGAGCATGGGAAACACATAAGGCCCTTGCTCTGGTTACTATCCATAGCAATGGGAGGGGGAGGGAAGAAGCCCCAGATAATGGGCATCTCATGATGACAAACTGAGGATTGAGGTGTGGAGGGGACAGGAGGCCAAGTCCATGGAGTACCATGTCTCCCAGGGCTGCCCAGCCCAGAGAGCAGCCCTACTGGCAGCCCCAGGAAGCTGGGCAAGTCTCCAACTGATAAGCCCATGGGGGAGACAAGCTCACATTTACTTCCTAAAGTGGGAGACACCCCTCCCCCAACGGCCCTCCTGGCAGCCCCCCTCCCCAGTTCATGTGCTCTCATTCTCTTGCCCAGAATGCCGATGAGCTGGACATCTCTGCAGGGGATGTCCTGGAGGTCATCCTAGAGGGGGAGGATGGCTGGTGGACAGTGGAACGGAATGGGCAGCGAGGCTTCGTCCCTGGTTCCTACCTAGAGAAGATCTGAAGGACAGGCAGCAGCCGCCACCTGGACCTGCCGTGCCTGTGTGGCTGGCAGGGAGCCACAGTGCCCAGCCCTGCTGGGACCCCAGAGTCAAGCCTGCCTCCTGTGGACGGTGCAGCACTGCAGAGCAGCCTCCCATGGGAATAAATTGCATTCTCTGTCCTTGGTCTGCTGGGTCCGTTTTCCTCACTCCACAGCTCAATTCAGAGGCAAGAGGTAGGGGAGCTATCTGGCCAGGCCTAGTTCAAGGTCGCAGGGGTGGAGGAGTCCTGTCCCTGGAGCTCCCAGGTGTCAGTGTCAGGAGGCTGGGGGAGGAGCCAGGAGAGCTGGGGCAGGGAGACCAGGTTTCCTAGGGCAGAGGGGCTAGAGCTGGGCCTGGGGAGCAGGAGGCACAGGCCACAGAGCATGGGGTGCAAGTGGCATGCAAGATCGAGTTGGGGCCCAAGAGGCTAAGGCTGCCAATGCTATTCCATCCAAACCCGCAGCCTGCTAGGCAGGGGCTCCAGGGCAAAGGTGATCTAAGCAGAGGCCACCAGCTTTTCTTACACTCTCCAGGCCTCTTTTTGGACCCAGGCCCCGGAAATGTAAGTTTTGTGCTGATGGAGGCCTGCCGGGGCCCACTCCAGGCCTGATAAACTCTGTCCATGAAGAAGGCATTGACAGTCAAAGTGAGCTGGCTCCTGGGCCTCCCCCTCACTCATCTGCGGGCACCCCAGCATGCCACCAGCACCACAGGGCAGCAAGCTAACAAGGCAGCACCAGATACCTGGGGGTGTTCCCTGAAGCACCTCAGGAGAAACTATTAAGGGTGTTACTGCCCCTGCAGACCGTCTTTCCCTGGGAATGTTGGCAACTGCAGGGCTCCTGAGCCAACTGAGGGTCACAAAGCCCAAGGAGCTGTACAGGACACACCTGATGTGCAATGGGGGGCCGGGGCATCTGGGGACAGGGCCTGAGAGAAGTCCAAAAACTGGAAGCTATGCCAGGAGAGAAGAGGGGTTCTTTCTACTCCTGCCTGCCCCATGATGGGCCTAGAGAGGGGTCCTTAGAAGAGACTTCGAAAACCTAGTTGGGCCTCCTGCAGGATGTCCTGCCTGCGCTCCTAGGCACTGACTGGAAATATCACCACTCGGGAAGCCTGCTGAGGACCTGTGACCGCCCTCTGGCTCCGCCTGGCCTACCACTCATCCCGGAGCCATACAAAGAACTCTTCTATGGGCCTGGGCAAAGGTTAGCAGCCATAGTGGCCAAGATGAGGTCTGGTGCTACCACAGGAAGAAGGCAGGGGTTAGTGAAGGGGCTGTGCTGTGTTCACAGCAGAAACCCACTGTGATGTCCTTGTCCTTCAGCACTTGAGCAAAAAGGAGGGTGTCATTCAAGCCACTGCAGCCCAAGACACTGGACGGCCTTCTTGACTTTGGGGAGCTAAGTTCCCTGGCGTGCCGCCCCTCACCCACCTCAGGTGTGCAAGTGACCCTGGTGCCAGATCACATACTGTCAGCCAACGGGAAAGAAAAGGGAAAATTAAGTATCGGCGTTTTCTTTATTCCTTAAAAATGCCTTGTCATCTTGATTGAACATTCTATTCAACTGCAACCTTTTAAACAACCTGTGGCCTAGTTATTTGTCATGGTATCTGACAGATGCTACAGTGTCTGTGGTCCCCAGGGGTGACAGGTAAGAAGTGCTAGGTAACAGAGTCTGGGTCGGGCCATCCAGGAGGCTGGGGAATAAGCTGAAAGCCACTCTTGGGTGGCAATTTACACCAGGAGAAAAAACCCGCAAATGGATCTGGGCCAGATTTATTGCCTCTGCTGCTTTCTCCGTTTTCTGTGCGGTGGGTCACAACCTCAGCCGTTGAGAACCGAAGGCAAGAACCGATGGCATTCCAGCAAAGAAAATGGTGCCTGATAGAGTGGGGGTGTGCAATTAGGGGTATGAATAACCTCAGCTGCTTCTGACAGAGGGCTGCTCACACACAGACCAATGGAGAAAGCAGGACTGCTTGAAGTCAGAGAAGCAGGTTCTGAGGAGAAACTCAGACTCTCTGTGCAGTCTTAGGGAAGTCACAGCAAGACCTCATTCTTAAGATGGGTACAATAAGCCCCCGTGGAAGTTGCTCTCTCTGTGAGGTTTAAATTAGACATATATGCTAGTTAAAAGCAAGAGGTGGGCTCTCCCTGGTGGCACAATGGGTTAAAGCACCTCATTATGAAGCTGTCCAAAGCCACTGCAGCACGAGTTCAATCCTTGGGCCTGGAAGTGACCCATATGGCACAGCAGACCTCTACTGACCCACCCACTGCTCCCCTCAGCAGTGTACTTCATCAGTCGGCCTGTTCTGCTCCCCACT